GCCTTGGAAATAGAATGAAAACTATTTTATAAATGACAATCTGCTCCTTTAAGTAAGTTCCTTTTCTCATTTCTTTTGGCACTATTCAGTGTAGACATTTCATTTAAAAGAAATCTGAAACAAATCTGGAAAACAATAGCATTTATGACACGTAAGTAATAAGTACATGGGTGTTTATCACAATATTCTCTTTATTTTTCTCAAGATCTGAAATAGTTCATAATAGAAACAATAACAAGTTGATGTTCTGTTTAAAATGTGTTTTAAAAAAAAAAAACTGTAATAGAAAATCCTGACAAGGAAGACTATTGAAAATATAAATGAACACCATAGAAATTAACAAAGTCATCCCAGTATAAGCAAAGGATTAGGAATACGCAGTAAGAATATTTCCAACGAAAGAAATGTCCTTGCCTCACCAGGACACCTTTTAATTAGTAGAACCTGGGGAGAGCTAACTGTCAAATCTTGAAATAGGTATACGAGGGGAATTAAAAGTTCATGGACAATGGAATTAAAACATAGTAGGATTTTTCCACAAAGTTTTTGAAGCCTCCTGTATTCTCTGAGGCATCACAGGACAGAACTAAGACAAGGTGGGCCTTAAATCAAGGCAAATGACAGCTCACGGCAAGGAGGAGATAGTCCTTCAAAAGAGTTAGTCATTTAAGGAGCTCTGGTAGCGTAGTGATTTCGCATTGGACTGTTAACCTCAAGGTCAGCAGTTCGAAGCTATCAGTCATTTCGGGGGAGAAAGATAAGGCTTTCTGTTCCCATAAAGATTTACAGCCTCTGAAACCCTATACAGAGTCAACTCCATGGCACACAACCACCAACCACCACCAATCAAAGATGCATCTCAATATTGGCTTCTAGGTCTTGAATTAAATCTAAGCAGTTCAAGGAAAGATACTTGTACTGGGTAGGAGACTGATTATCACTCAAGTTGATGCCAACTCATAGTGACCCTAGAGAACAGAGCAGAACCACCCCAGAGGATTTCTAGGATTTCTAGGACTAATCTTTACAGAAGCAGATCCCCAGGTCTGTCTTCCACAGAGGCACTGGGTGAGTTCCAAAGGCCAACTTTCCAATTAGCAGCTGAAGGCTTAGCCGTTGTACCACCTGATCTTAAAGTTCCCTTCCAATCTTAGGAATCTGTTTTTAACAAACAAAGGGTCAGAAACATGTGAAATATGAGTCCAAGAGAAAAAGAAATCATGTGTTGTGAGATTGGCAAATGCAACCAGAACGCTTACTGCAGGAAACATACAACCAGTCGTTACCTCTCAGAGGACAGCGGCTGCACTTAGGCAACATCAGTCAGTCCCCCATCAAATATTTATTTGGCACCTTCCCAGTACCAGGCATGGTTCTAGGTGCAGGCAGAGGCAATAAGAATAAAATAAACCCAAGGTTCTCAAGGGTTTGTTTTCTATGCATCATGATGCACTAACACTGTATTCCTTTCAAGATAAAGAATTCCCTTCCACCATCACTTTTTGTCTCAGGAAGAATATGTCTGCTACCACAGGTCCTGTTATTCCACTGTGTCTACTAAATAACTGGTACTCAGCAAAAGCAGAATATGGGAGGTGAAGTCAGAAGAAGAATAATCATCTACAGAGGAGAAGAAGCAGACGCTGAAGCAGGCTGGTTTCAGGAGCATGGAAATATACATCCGTATCTCAGTCATTGTTTAAGGTTATGGCCTTCCTACAGAAGGACTGTTAAAACTCATTACCTGAATCAGTCCGCCCTTACTACCTAAGCTCAGTCATCAAAGATAGGAGTCTCTGGTGACATAAACTGCTCAGTTACCCGAAAATACCTCATAAGGAAGTCCTAGCAATCTACTTCCAAAAGATCGTCGCTGTTGAAAACTCTGTGGAATGAAGTTCTACTTTGGCACGCACGGGGTAACCATGAGTGGGAATGTACTGGACAGCTGCCAGTTTGAGTGGTATCATTAAAGACATACTTGGAAATCCAAGGCCAGACAGCAGCTCTAGAGTTCCTAGGTGGTGGAAGTAGTTAACACACTTGGCTGCTAACCTGAAGGTTGGTGGTTCAAATCCAAATAATCAGCCACTGAAAACCCAATTTATGGCAACCCCGTGTGTACAGAGTAGAACTTCACTGCACAGGGGCTTTAGTGGCTGTGGCCTTTCACAAGCAGATTATCAATCTGTCTTCTCAGATACCTCTGGGTGGGTTCGAAAGGTCAACCTTTTAACTAGTAGTTGAGTACTATCTGGTGACTTCATATAGCAGCCTGTTGTCGTTAAGTGCCGTTGAGTTGGTTCCCACCTATAACGACCCTATATAGAGTTTCCAAGGAGCAGTTGGTGAACTTGAACCACCGACCTTGCGGTTCAAACTGACTTTGCAGTCCAGCACATCAACCCACAGCGCCACACCAGGAGCATGAGGAAAAAGGACTGACACTGAGAATAGCAGAATGCAGACACTGGATCCTTGAAAAGTAGTGAGGACAAAGCGGAAGAAACCTTGAGTGCTGCTGGGAGCCTGGGTAGACCACTCCCTAGAACAGCGGCTAGAGGCCCACCCAAGCAGCCGCCATACCTCTTTTTCTTCACAGGAGTCGTAGCAGAGGTGGAAATCGTCGTGTTGGCAGTGCTTGCGTGGAACAAATCACCATGTTGCCTGTTTAAACACAAATAACCACATTCATGAAATGTACTCATTCTTCCCAATTTGGAATGCACTGGAGATTGACTCAGTCCTCACCCGCTCTCTACCCACCACAAAATGTTTCATGTAAGGATTGAAGCACAACAAAAGATGTCTTTCCTTAATGTGACCTATTTTATAAATTACCAGTCTTTCATATAGCTAACTAACATGGAAGGAATTGGATGCCTAAGTCATTTCTCATATGACATTACCTGTCCTAAATCCAGACAAATCAACTCTGGCATCCTATGGATTCAGGTCTTTTTTAAAAAATTTATTTCCTGGGTCCATAACAAAATTATATTGCAATTTTTATGTTCAAAGCATTAGTTTGTTAAAGAAAACAAATTTTAAATCCTGCCATGTGTTTGCATCTCTAATTAAGATTTATAAATATATCCAGACTCTCAGAAAATGGAAGCAGCTCAAGCCTGCTTCTACCACTGAGAAGTGTGGTCCAGTGCAAAACATCACATTAACATGTTCATACAAAGGAAGGAACTAAGAACAATTTTTTTGAAATCTGCCTAACTGGAGCTGCATGTAGTAGCCAGAAGCATATTGTAGGTTTTAAAAAACTGTATTTCTTCCATATACACTGTTAACAAACCCATGATTTTAGAACTCACTGAGGCAGGAGTTGAAGGGAAGGAGGGGGGAATGAAGCTTAGGGAAGAAAGATTTGATTGCCATGGGAGATGGGAGCAGTCTGTAGGGGGAGGAAAAAAGCATCTAGAATAAATAATAATAATAATAAATAAGATCTAAGTTTTGGTGTTTGGTTAGTGCAGTGGTCTGCAAACTATTTCTGTAAAAGTCCAGTCAATATTTTAAGCATTGTGAATCATTTTGGTGTCTGTCCTCAACTAGTCAATTCTGTTGCAGAGATCAAAAACACCCATTGTCATTAAGATGCTAATGCCAACTCACAGTGAGCATTTTCAAGCAGACTGCTGTATCTTCCTCCCATGCAGTGACTGGTGAGTTTGAACCACCAACCTTTCAGGTAACAGTCAAGTACTTAACCATTAAGCCACCAGGACTCCTGCTCTGCAGAGACAGATAATACCTAGTTGTGTAGGTGGGAGCACGGTGGCTCTGTAGGATAAGTGGTGGACTTCGAATCAAAAGGTCAGTGGTTCAAGCCCACAAGTCCCTCTGCAGAAGTTAAGATGAGGCTTTCTGTTCCCACAAAGATCTACAGGCTCAGAAACCCTACACAGGGCCGCTATGAATTGGAATCAACTGGATAGCATGGAACAACAGCAAGTGTGTGGGTATAACTGAATCCCAATGAAACTTCAGCCTGAGAGTCAGAGACCCAGGGTCAAGAGAATTAAATTAACACAAAGAAAAACAAAGCAAATATTTTATTCTTAAAGTGTAACTTCTGTTACAAAAGTACTTACGACTTTGCTACTTCTGGTGACCTAAATGTGGACAGGCTTCTGGTATGAAATACAAAAACAAAAAGTTTAAGCAGTGACGAAGAATGAAAACTTTCATTTATCTGCAATCATCTATGAATTTAGAGTCATTATTGTTAAAAAGTTAGACATTATTTGAGACAGGAAGAAAGAAAGAAACTTGATGATGTGATTCTATCATCTTTTTGTCTCTTATATCAGATTTCAAAGAACTGATTTTTTCTTTAGACCATCAGCATCTTTTAACCCCTGTGTTTTTATTTCTTGGGTAGAGTAATTTTCTTTACTAATAAAAATGCAAATTTTGCATTTACATGCATTTCACAATCTTGCCACCAGGAGAATTTAAACAGAAACATAATTGTGGGAAGAATGATGGCATGGAGCTAGGAGCTCACTGGATTTTTTGAAGCCAGACAATAAGATTTTGGCTTTCTCTAACCAACTTGAGTATCAAAAATATAGAGGGTGATAAGTTACAGAGAGATAGCAAGTATGAATGAAGCAATGTAAGTAAATAAATAATGCTTAGAAAAATATTGTACTTGAGTCTTCTCCAAGTTAGTAGAAACTGGTACCTATTGGTTAGTCGGTTATCCAAGGTATTGGCCTTATATGTTTTAGCAGCATCTTTTCTGTCTGAGATCCTTTATAAAGAAACAAGACAAAAATCTGGATAAACATTTTGATTATTAAACTCCTTTCAGAACTCATTCATGCTAGAATGACTTCACAACATAACTTTTCTCTAATAAACAAACACTGCTTTTCAAGTGTTAAGTTTTAGAGTTTTTACAGTTAAAAAGCTACTTATGAATGACCAAAAAAAAAAGATGAGACTATTTTTATACAGTTTGGATTTTTTTAAAAGTATTATGCTTTTTCTGTTTGCCTGTCTAAACACAGAAATCATGAACTATTTTTATAATGTGTATGATTTTATAAATGACAATACTTGTCAGTAAAGGCATCGATGGAATGTTTAACTAGTTTTTAACGTTTTGTGGTAGGGGAAATGCTATGTATTTACTAATCTCATTGTATTTTCCTTCTGAGCACACAAGGAGATTACACCTGTCAACTTACTTTGCAATTAAGTTGGGATCATGAGATTGAATTCTAAACTAAGAATGTGGACAAAATTATGGTCCACGAAAATCCCCACAACCTCCTGCATGCTCACTGTCTCCCCTCCATGAAGATTTTGGTACCCATGGGTTGAAGATTGTTGTTGTTAAGTGCTGTTGAGTCCATTCTGATCCATAGTGACCCTGTATACGGTTTCCAAAGAGCAGCTGGTAAGTTTGAACCATGGACTTTGCAGTTCAAACGACTTTGCAGTCTTGACGCATTAGCCCACAGTGGAGATAGTAGCATTGAAACATAGAAGGGACTAAGATCTCTGGGTATCTGTGTGGAGCAAAGAGAGCCCCCCCCACACACACACCCCCCATTCTTTCAGTCAATCATATTGGACTCCAATGAAAGCAAGCAGTAAACTTCTATTGTGTTAAACCACTGAGATTTGGGGTGAAGAGCAACAGCTATCTAATGTCCACCAGAGGCTTCAATGCCTCTGGTCTCAGATGTCATCAAGGAGGGTAGTTCTAGAAAAGCTCTGTTTGCATGGTTTTAGGATTGGTAGTGGTGGTGGTTGCATGCCCTTCACATAATCAAAAGAACGGAAGGAAAGTTATACTTCTACTACTGAACACTAGGGGTCTCCCTAACCTAGGTTTTCTAAATTCAGTTGTTTAATTATTTGTATTTGGGTTGGCTACATATGCTGTGTCTACCTGTTCTTGTGTGACGCTGTAAGATCAGCACTTCACTTCAAATCATAAGGTTGGCAGTTCAAACCCACCAACTGCTCCTCCAAAACCCTATAGTCCTCAGTATAGACTCAACCACACTTAACAACCACCTGCTCCTGTAAGGATTTAGTGTTGTTGTGCACTGAGTTGGTTCTGACTCACAGTGAACCCTGTATAGGGTTTTCAGGAGCAACTGATGCACTCAACCACTGCTAACCTCGATTCCACTGCATCGTTACTCAAACTAAAGGTTTTAACTTTGCTCTTGACTTGTGCTGCTACATCATCTTTAACAAACCTAAAACATGTGATCTGTAGAGTCCAGGGGGGATGCTATAGGATACGCATTAGACTGCTAACTGTTAAGTTTGGTGCTTCAAACCTACCAGCTGCTCCTTAAAAACAGGGTCGCTGAGTCAGAACTGACTCGTCTGCATGTAACAACACCAACACTTTAGCCAGAATGAAAACTTCTCAGTTTTCTCTGTAGAGATGACCCTGAATCCTCTGAGAATTAACCATAAGTCCAACGTGGTGGTCGTGTGCTGGTGGCTGTGTGCCGTGGAGGTGCTTCCAACTCATAGCGACACTGTATAGGGTTTCCAAGGCTGCAAATCTTTATGGGAGTAGAAAGCCTCCTTTTTTCCCCACAGAACAGTTGGTAGTTTCTAACTGCTGATCTTAAGGTTAACAGCCTGACTCGTAACCACTATGCCAAATAGTTTTACAAGCAAATGGTTACTCCAATGTGGAGAGAGTAGTTTCACTTTCTAAAGTAATGAGCTAATGCCTTTATCCTAGGGAGGATCAAAGCTGTTGTGTTATTAAAATTTACAGTGTCTCCATAAAGTAGCTGAACAGAAACTGCCATTCCTCCACCATTAGGAGGAGAGAACCAAAACCTAGAGTAATGACTACTCATCTTCACAAAAATAATGACACCATCAATTTTAAATTGAACTGAAAGATTCCACACAGTGTGCACACTAGCTAGACAGACATTAGTTCATCCCAGAATTGTTTATATCAATCTACTATTATAAGAATATTAGTGAAATATTATATCTTGTCAAATTTTGCGAAATTTGAAGAAGGAAATAATTCAAGTCTTTCTTTTTGTCTCTTCTATCTCTGAAGATAAAATATTAATGGTTCATGAGAATATCTCATCATTTTTATAAGAAATGGGATTCAACATATGTTATGGATTCTGCTTGGATAGTTCAAAACACCTTACCTGTCTAAAGTGTCATCAGATCTGTACCGACTAATTGTGGCTTTTGGCTCATCTCTCTCAGTGGTTTTCCTGTAGCCAAAAATATATGCAAAAGATAGATAAATTACTAGATAAATAGTTCATAAGACCCATCTATCATGCATTAGGAAAATTTTTCATCAATTAGGGTAGAAAATGTGCAAGTTACCAAGAAAAGAAGGATTTTGAGCACCCAGATTCTTCAAAGTTTTTACTTAAACAGAAAGAACTATGACAAATCTAATTCTCGATGTTAATAAAGGATTCTTCTCTAGCTCCAATCACTCTTAGCTACAATATGGGCCATAGGGATACAATAGGGATAAGACTATGTTTAAAAAAAAAAAAAAAAAAAGCACAATATGCAAAATTAGTAATAGCTAGTATGTATTCTTGTCAATGCTTGTCAATGTTGTGGATTTCTATATCATAACCCCCTACAATCCCTTTATAATCAGCTTTGTTTTGTTTGCAGAGTTTTAGCCATGTCAAAAGCCAGCACGATGAGTTCCGTAATAACAGGTTTATTTGTAATTCAGCACCGCGGACAAGTCTGAAAAAGAAAACTGCTGGTAGAAGGGAGGGAAAGGAAAGAAAATAAGTGATAGAAACAGGAAAAGTTAGAAGAAAATTAAAGAAGAAAGTGGAGTGTCCAGCTATACTACTAACTGTTCTGAAAGGGATCACATTAGAAGGTCCTGAATAGAGTGAGAGACCTATTGAATAAAGTGAGAGAAAAATGAGAAACAGAACTGAAAATTATAAAAAAGACCAAACTTACTGGTCAATAGAGACAGGTAGAACCCCTGAAACTATGACGCTTAGTCCCCCTTCAGATCTGGACATGAACTCACCCTGATGGCTGAATTCTCAGCCAAACAATAAAGAGGGCTACAAGGGGACACTAATCCAGTGAGGTGCGCACACATCAGAATAAGCAGCCATTTGAGATCAAAAGGGCAACTTCTATCCAAGGGCAAAGTTTTGAAAAATTAGGAAAGAAGGAGGAATAGAAACAAGAAATGCAGAGAGGAAATGGGATAACTGATGTTACATTGTGGGGATTGCAATTAATGAGGTAGAACAAAATGTAAAACTGATCTGCTCTGTAAATATTCACCCAATTCACAATGAAAAACTAAAGGAAGGAAAGTGGACAAAGGGAGAAGGGACTGAGGTAGTAAGGAGAAGAAAAAGAGAATAGGGACAAATATATCAAGAAAGAACAGATGAAAGGAAAGCACAAAGAGAGGAAGACAAGTGAGCAGAAAGGAAGAAGAGATGGTGGAAGAGAACAAGACAATAAGGGACAAGATGACAGCACTGGAAACAGCTTGATGCCACTGATCAAATGGATGGGGGTGAGGTGGGGGATGGGGGGAGGGAAGAGCCTCATAGTCTCCTGTGATACGGGAAAGCAAGCTATTTGGGAACTTACACCGGCTTGTAAGGAGCTGTGGTAGCGTACTGGTTAAGAATCGGGCTGTGAACCTCAAAGTCAGAAGTTCAAAACTACCAGCTATTCCATAGGAGAAAGATGAGGCTTTCTGCTCCCGTAAAAATGTACAACCTTGGAAACCCTGTACAGGGTCACTATGAGTCAGAACTGACTCCACGGCACATAAACACCATCGCTATGCGTTACAGTGCTTACATTTTAAAGTATCATTTGAAGCAGACAGCTCAAACTGCTTAAGTCAGAATAAATACTGAGACAGGATACTGTTGGCAGTACATTTTCACTGAGCAAATACTTGGAGGTAAACAACAGACAAAATTCTATGTTGGTGACCCCAGGAAAGCCCAGAATTAAACGATGTTGCCCTCACAGAGCTGGTTATTTTAAGGGACAAACACACCACATGCATCCAGAGGTAGAAAGCATCCAGTGCCACAAGAGGTTCAGGGAGAGTACACAAAGTTCTGAGTAAGCAAAATTAGTTCCAAATATTAGCATCAGGAAAGGCTTAGTGGACAAGGTGAAATCTGAGCTGTACCTTGGAGAATAAAGATGAACATTTTCAAACAGAAAGAATTGAAAAGAAAAAAACAAAGCAAGAAGAATGTAAAGAAAAGTAACAAATGCAATTCTCTAAGTTTTTAAGCAAACCTCATAGTGAAATCATGATATATTTCACCATCATGGCACCTGGGTAGTGCTAATAGCTAATGTGCTCAGTTGCTAATCAGAAGACCGAAGGTTCCACCCAGAGGTGCTTCGAACGAAAGGTCTGGCAATCTCCTCCAAACATTGAACCATTAAAAACCCTATGGAGCAGTTCTACTGTGACATGCATAGGATACTGCTATGAGTTGGAAAGCAATGGGTATTTTGGTTTGTTTTCTGCCATCATGTGGGAAAGCACAAAGGAACTGCTGGACCATCTGAGACACCCTTCTACAAAATACCCTCCATCAACACCACCGCTCTATCTATCCCTCTTTGGCTGACTTTTTTCCCCCTAGTACTCATCATAATGTATTATATTGCATTTATTTTCTACCACTCCTCTTCCTGACCCTTAACTAGGATGAAAATTCTATGAAAGCAGGGACTCTGTTTTGTTCTCAGTCCTTAGAACAATGTCAAGCACACAGTTGGCTGCAGATAAATGTGTATGGAGTCAATAAATCTATAGGCTAATTGGGCAGAAGGCAGAACTCGTTAGAGGAAAGACAACAGAGTAAGTAGTGAATGCTGCAAACTTTGAACTGGTAAATGAGCATGTGGAGAAAACTAAAATAGTAGTCACAGTTAGCATAAACTTTATAAAAGACTTTATTTAAACATAATGCATTACGTCTACAAACTGGAATGGAATGTTTACCCTAGATAGAAAAGTCAGCAGATCTCTGGGTACTATTGGCGCTATCAGCCTCATTTAAGATGTTTAAATGATCTTGTGGTTGTTGTTGTTGTTAAGTGCTGTTGCATCTATTCTGATCCATAGTGACCCTGTGTAGGTTTTCCAAGGAGCAGCTGGTGAGCTTAAACCACCAACCTTGCAGTTCAAACAACTTTGCAGACTGACGCATTAGCTCACAGCGCTACACCAGGACTCAACTGATCTGGTAGAGGAAGTAAAATGTTCTGGTTTGTGGATAACACAAACCTATTGTCTAAGGTGATAAGGATATGTTATTCCTTTTCCTTAATGAGGAAAAATTATTAAATTATTCCTTATCCTTCTCTCTGCTATCTGAGTTAATTTTATAATCTCAAAATGTCTCCTTAGCTTTTTGAAATTCATATAATGAAAAACATCCCTACTCTTGGGTTAATTGTTGTTGTTGTTGTTAAGTGCCGTCGAGTCGGTTCCGACCCATAGCGACCCTGTACAGGGTTTCCGAGGGTGTAAATCTTTACGGGAGTAGAAACCCTCATCTTTCTCCCGCGGAGCGGCTGGTAGTTTCGAACCACTGACCTTAAGGTTTGCAGCCCGACTCGTCACCACTACGCTACCAGAGCTCCTTATCGATTGGTAAATAGATTACCAAATGAGATGAAAAGCTGTCTTCTGATGGGTGTGGTTGTGTGTATGTAAATGAATGCAGCTGTGCTTTAATAGGAATAGCTTAGATTATTTTCAACAATTATTTGCTGTTTGTTGTCTGATTTTCTCTGTTAATTCACATTTGTCAGTCTGTTTGCCATGGGGTGGCTTACTTGATAGGTTATTTTCCCATAAGCCCAGAAGTTTTTAGAGAGAAATGCACCATTTCTTAAAGCAAATGAACTTTGCAGTTGTTCTTTCTGCATTTCTGGGTCCTATTGCTATGAAAGCCCCTTCCTGCTGTCAGGAGAATAACTAAGTGAGATGGGCAGAGGGCTGACTGTACTATGGCATCCAGTCATTGTAGTTCTGGGAACAAGAAGTAGAAGCACAGAATCGACCCTATGGAAATCCCTCATATGTCAAAGACTCTTCTAAAAGTGACTAGAACATCAGTGGATGGCTCAGACTAACCACAACTATCCAGTTGCCTCCTTAAAACTACCATCTCTGTGTTTCCGCTAATGACATAACTTGTCTAAAACACCCACCTGTCCAAGGCTTCGTGGGAGTTGTGCCGGCTGAGCACCACCCTACCATAATTTTCATCTCTGCAAAGAAGGAACAAATTAGGTCACAAAAGGAGTTACCTCAGTATTTGGTAAGTGCAAAACAAAGAAGACAGACAAAGAGCTCACAACTTTTGGCAAGGTTCAGTCACTTTATTGAAGGCTTAAGAACACAACTGTTTATTTTAACCAGTCACCACTTGAAGGAGCAAGACGAAAAGAAGCAAGCTTGCCAGCACAAATGATGGCTATTCTGATTTATCCCATGAGTTTTCCGCATGATTCAACAATAGAATGAGTCTGTTGTGGTTTATGTTATGTTTTGTTGTGTTGTGTTTTTTTTGTTTTGTTTTGTTTTTTTCAGTCAGAGTGTGGGGACACAAATCTACCTACTTTTATCGATTCATCCATGGCTGTTGAGTTGGTGCGACTCAGAGAGACCCCGTGTGTTAAAGACTAGAACTCTTCCCTGTGGTGTCCTTGGTTGTAATCTTTGTGAAATCAGAGCAGCAGGCCTTTCTTTCATGGTGTGTTTGAACCACCAGCCTTTAGATTAGTTGTTAAATGCCATCAAGTCAATTGTGACTCATAGCAACCTTGTATAGGGTTTCCAAGGAGAGGCTGGTGGGTTTGAACCACCAACCTGTGGTTAGCAGTCCAGTGCTCATCCTACAGCCCCACTTCAGGACTCCATAAACATGTATGTTCCTGTGTATGTGTGTATGTGTTGTTCTTGTTTGGTACCAAAGAGTCTGTTCTGACTCTATAGGATTTCTGAGGCTTCAAATCCTTATGGGAGTAAAAAGCCTCATCTTTCTCCTGCTGAGCAGCTGGTGGATTTCAGCTGCTGGCCTACTTGGGGACCATTTGTTGTTGTTGTTGTTAAGTGCCATCGAGTCGGTTCCGACCCATAGCAACCCTGTACATTACCATTAGAAGGGTTTTTTCTGCTGGAAAAGCTTTCTACCGATATATACTTAATTTATTGAGGTCCATTATATTTGCAAGGAACTCTGGTAGTGTAGTGGTTATGAGTTGGGCTGCTAACCTCACGCACGGTCAGCAGTTTAAAACTACCAGCTGTTCCGTGGGAGAAAGATGAAGCTTTCTGCTCCCGTAAAGATTTACAGCCTCGGAAACCTTGTGCAGAGTCACTGTGAGTCGGAACCGACTCCACAGCACACCACCACCATTATATTTGGACATTTTAATTTCACGGACTTGACCGTTTGCCTGACAAAAGAAGAGTAAGTAGCAATATTTATATTAAAGTAGATTGATCATTCAAAGGAGACATAGCCCATTTTGAACTGTGGTAATACTCAGTTTGCTCCATTTGTCCTTGGAGTTATGTTATAAATTAGTCAGCAAAGACAATAGAGATAAAAGATAGTAAATATATAGACTCCCAAGGCACGTCTTTCTCACTTAGCACAACAAACATGAAAACACAGGCGACTTGAAGAAATATCAAAACCTGTAGTAGAGCCTTTGGATTTGAGCCAAGACAGAGAGTAAGTGCCAGCATGTCATCCCAGTCAATCATGAAATACCACATTTCCCATGGTTCTGCTCCTCCAGCACTACTCAACACCTACCAATCATTTTAAATAATGTTATAAAAGAATTGTCAAAGACAGCATTTTTTTTTTTTAAAGATGGGCAGTGAAACTAAAACAATGCCAACAAATATACATCTCCAGAGACCCCAAGAGAACGCTCCAGTTCACTAGGTAGCCCTTCGTGAGATTCATGAGAAACAGTAGCAGGCACTAGGGCCGCATTTTCCCTGAAGGAGAAAAACCGTAACACGCAGCCCAGTAATGCAGGGTTTCTCCACCTCAGAACTACAGACTTTTGGGCCTGAAAGACGAGGCTTTCTGCTCCCGTAAAGACTTACAGCCTGGGAAACCCTGTGCAGGGTCGCTGTGAGTCCGAACCGACTCCACGGCACATAACAACAATACAAACAATGTTATAAGACACAGTCCAGAAGTGAAAATGCTGGCTTCCCTGGGCCTTTGTAAGGAGGTCCACCTGGCACAAACCCCTCACTCCTAACGACTCTGATCTGTCTCAGACATCTTTAGTTAGATTTGTGCAAATATTCACAATCCAAAATTTATAGTCTACATATGACATCACTATATTACTATGGAAACACTTGTTGTTGTTGTTAAGTACCATGGAGTCGGCTCTGACTCAATAGTGACCCTGCACATGGTTTCCGAGGCTGTAAATCTTTATGGGAGCAGAGTGCCTCAAGTTTCTCCCACGGAAACGCTGGTAGTTTCGAACTGCTGACCTTGAGGTTGGCAGCCCGACTCGTAACCACTACGCTTACCAGAGCTCCTTATGGAAACATAGACGTGCCATATTAGGTTTTGATGGAAGCAAAAAATATCTCTTCATAGAAGAAAATTACTGTTGTCCAATAGTGTTAATGCCAAAGGAACCCTGGGGATGGGACACTTAAGCACTTGACTGTGAACCAAAAGATTGGTGGTTTGAACCCACCTAGCAACTCCGTGGGAGAGTTGGTGATCTGCTCCCATAAAGATTATTGCTGTTGTTAAATGTCATCATATCAGTTCCAACTCATAGCAACAACTCTGTATAGGATTTCTGAGCAGCGGTCAGTGGGTGCTTATTCTATAGCACCATATCAGAACACCCCCACTACCCACCCGTCTAAACATTGTTGTTGTTGTTTATTGCGAAGTGCCGGCGAGTCAGTTCTGACCTATAGCGAGCCTGTATAGGGTTTCTGAGGAGCAGCTGGTGAGCTTGAACTGCCGACCTTGCAGTTCAAACGCCTTGCAGTTCAAACGGCTTTGCAGTCCGGCGCATTAACCCACAGTGCCACATCAGAACTCCAGATTAGAGCCAAGTAAATCCAAGTGCACAGTTCTAGTTTGTCACACTCTATGAGTCAAAATCAACTTGAAAAAAATTAACAGTGACAACAGTGTTAACCCCAAACGTTAGTGTGATTCTCTAAATTTTAAAACAATAAGATTTAAACACAAAAGTTAACATAAACATTTTTATTTAATGTTGTAAGTATGTTCCTCAAATAACTTGATGTGCACAGCTTTGTAGAAAATAATGCAGGGTCTCTACCTCAGTACTATTGATATTATGGCCTGGATAGTCCTTGGTATGGGGGCTGTCCAGTGTATTTAAAGATGTTTAGCAGCATCAGATTTGTTTGAGATTTAGCAGCATCCCTTGCCTCTCCCCACCTGATGCAAGGATCACTCCCCAGTTGTGATAATCAGAAATATTTTCAAATATTGCTAAATATCCCAAAGAGAAAATTTTTCCTCATTTGAGAAAATGATATAAAGGAACAAGATGGGCCATGTTAAAATCTCAGCTCCACTAGTCAATAGATGTGCACCATTGGAAAACTGATCTAACTTCTCTGACCCTCAGATTCCTTTTCTATGAATGAGACTATAATACCTCCTTTGAATGGTTGTGGTATTTAATAATAGTTTGTTGAAGTATTAAACCCAACACAAGGGAAAATCAGAAAATGCATTCATACGTGTACATTTTGTGGTTAAGTGCCATTGAGTCAGTTCTAACTCATAGTGACCTTGTATAGGGTTTCCAAGGAGAGGCTGGATCATTTGAACTGTCAACCTTGTGGTTCAGTGCTTATACTACAGTGCCACACCAGATTGGTAAATGTCTATTATAAACCTATATTGGCAATGATGCTCAGCATAAAGCATTATAACCAACTCTCATATCATGCAGAAAAAGCTTTCTTTGTTGTAAAAAATGACACTACCACATTTACCAAACTTCCAGAGGTATGTGGCCACTTGGGACTAAAATGACCTGGAAACTTACATCCATGTGTTCAATTTTACTTGTACATATAGAAATTTTAGAACAATTCTATTAAATATATAAATTTGAAAAACATATTATTATGTGTTTACTTCTACTGCTTCATGGTGTGGCACTGTAGGATCAACACTGAACTGAAAACCACAAGGTCATCTGTTCAAACCCACCAGAAACCTCAGAAACCTTATACAAGGTCTCTATGAGTCAGAACCAATTCAACAGCACTTAACAACAACAACTTCTACTGAAAAGGAGCCTTAGTAGCATAACAGTTAAGTGCTTGACTACTAACTGAAAGGTTGGTGGTTCAAACCCACTCAGCTGCTCTATGGAAAAAGATTTGGCAATCTGCTCCCAAAAAGATTAACAATCTAGAAAACCTTAGGGGGCTCCTCTGTCACATGGTGTTGCTATGAGTCAAAAATTGACTTGAATATACCTAGCAACAACAACAAATGTCTACTGACATGATCAACATGCTTCAATAATTTTTTCACCATGGATCATATGCTACCTTTATAAAAACTGGAAAATCATATTGTCTTTTTAGTTTACCAAGCAAACACACACATCAATTCTAGGTGATAACCTTGAATTCTTACTCATTCTCACTAATGACAGCTTTTCTTATCCATGTAGGATATTAAAAATGGTAGAGATATTTTCGAGAGTCCAAGATAATCAATTTTTACTTTGTGACCTTACTGAACATTAGACCGCACAACAAATATGCTAGAAGAACACATTTGCTTTTCAAATGCTACTCTGTACCCATTCACCCACCCACCACTTCACCCCCTTACTTTTCTTCTTCAGGACGTTTCTTTATCCAGCTGCTATCTTGCAACAAAGGCCTTCTTTTGTTCACTTCGTGAAAACCCTGTTGCTTCAGCATGGTTCCCTGAGCAGTAAATTTCATCTCTATCAAAAGAAACATGAGAAATGGAGACCGCTGGTGTCATGGAATGGAGTGTGGGTGTGTTCACTTGAACATCTTCGGGGCTCATCTGATTGGCTAGCTTTGGTCTTCCAGGCTGGCAAGCATAGTACTTGTTTCAAAGTAGGGCTTACCGGCAAGAAAGAACAAATCCACACCTGCTCATCAGAGATAACATACAGAACGTGTTCAGGTGCCAAATGAAACTGCCAGTACAGATCACCAGCCCCATCCAGCTCCAAGAATGTGGAACCACAGGCTGGGATAAACCCATCCATGGCTTACTGGGTTGGCCCTTTTACTTAATCAGAAGCATCCAGAGGTACACATAGAACTGATCTTAAAGTACCTAGTAACTAATAGTAAATCATGTTGCATTAGCATATAAGTAACTTACTTCTTTAATCCTATGGGAGCCAGAAGCAAATAATTTACCTGCCCCTCCCAACACATACCCCCTAAAAAGGCCATTTTTATTGATAATTTAAATTGAAAATTACAATCTGTAGCACTCTTGCTTTGTCCTTAAACCTAACACTGTTGTTGCTGTTAAGTACCATTGGGTCGGTTCTGACTCATGTTGTTGTTGTTAAGTGCTGAAGAGTCAGTTCTGATTCATAGTGACCCTATATACAATTTCCAAGGAGCTACTCGTGGGTGTGAACCACTGACTTTGTAGTTAACAGTCCAGTTCTTAACCTACAACGTCACACAGTGCGTATCATATCAGAAATGCTAAAAAACAAAGATGTCACTTTGAGGAATAAGGTGTATCTGACCTAAAAGAGATGTGGTACTTTTAATCACCTCATATGCATGTGAAAACTGGACAATAAACAAGGAAGACAGAAAAAGATTTGATGCATTTGAATTACCATGTTAGAGAAGAATATTGTAAGTACCATGGACTGCCAGAAGAACAAACAAATGTATCTTGGAAAAAGTACAACCAGAACACACCTTAGAAGGGAGTATGGCAAAACTTTTGTGTTCTGTACTTTATACATGTTATCAGGAGGGACATCATTCTTGGTAAAGTAGAGGGTCAGCAAGAAGAGGAAGACCCTTAGTGAGATGGATTGACATAATGTAAGCAATGATGATCCCAAACGTGACAGCTGCTATACTGATGGCATAGAACTAGGCAGTGTTTCATTCTTTTGTATATAGGATTGCTATGAGTCAGAACCAACTTGATGCCCCTAATGGTGCTGTGGGATAAAACACTGAACTGCAAGGTTGATATGAACCACAGGTCAGCAGCTCAAACCGACCAGTTATTCCTTGGAAATCCTGTACAGGGTCACTATGAGTCCAAACTGACTCAAAGAAACTTAACAACTACAACAACAAATAATAATTAGAATACTGCTTCTAAGAAATGCTGGTGTGGTCCTGTAGGATAAGCACTTGATCATGAGATTGGCAGTTCAAACCCATCAGCCACTCCTTGAAAACCCTATGCAGTGTCTCTAGAATTGAAGTGACTTGATGACACTTAACAACAGCAGCAATATTGCTTCTAAACATTCAATATCTATATAAAAGAATTCAGACCTTTCTATAGTTTTCTTCCCGCCATATTTTTTAAGTTTTCTGAGTAAGAAAAGATCATATACATTACCATTTCCTTTTTGAGTCGTTTTTCTCAAGGCAAGATTTGACATGCTGCCTTCTGATAAGGCTCTAAAAGAAAAATGGGGTAGAAAAACACAGTAATGATTCTGTAAATTTACATGTGATTGTTTCATGGCTAACAGATAAATACATTTGTCAATGACATCAACCAAAACACATGGCCTGGCACTGTTAGCTAGCTATTGGGCTGCTACCCACAAGATCAGCAGGCAGTTCACACCCACCAGCCACCCTGTGGAAGAGAGATGAGGCAGTCTGATCCTGTGATAGTTATGGTTTTGTGTCAAATTGACTGGGCCTGGATTCCTAATGGTTTGGCAGTCAAGAGAGAGTAATCCACCATAAAGAGATCTAATATAATGTAATCACAACCATTATATAATCTAATACGATCGGTCCTGATCGGCTGTAATTTCCTAAGTGTTAGAAATCCTCACTTCTATGATGTTAATGAGGTAGGATGCAGTCTACAGGATTTAGTTGTATCTTGAGTTAATCTCCTTTTAGATATGAAAGGAAAGAAGAGTGAGCAGAGGAAGAAAGACCACTACCCCCAAGAAAGAAGAGTTGGGACTAGAGTCCATCCTTTGAATCTTTGGTCGCTACACTGTGATGCTCCTTGTTGCTGTTGGGCTTATCCTACAGTGTCATACCAGATGAACTCCCTAGATCCAGTGAAAGACTAATGCCAAGATACACTGAGATCTCCAAGGAAGGCTGGGCCTAAAGATACCTGAAAGGAAACAAGGATCTTTCCCCAGAACCAGAGCTCTGAATTCTGACTTCTAGTCTTCTAAACTGTGAGAGAATAAATTTCTGTTAAAGCCATCTACTTATGGTATTTCTGTTACAGAAGCGCTAGGTAGTTAACACAGACCCAATAAAGATTTACAGTCTCAGAAACCATATGTAGGATCACTGAATCGGAAGCAACTCGATGGCACTGGGTTTGATTTTTTTCTTTTCTTTCTTTCTTTGATTTCATGGCTAACTGAGGCATTGACCAAGTCATATGGTCTGTGATAATGACATTGACCAAGTCACATGGTCTGTGATAATGAATACATAACACCAAATTTTTCAAAGAGCCTGAGTTCAGCTGTTTCAAACTATTTATTGTGCAGATGAAGAAACAGAAGCCCAGAGCATTTAGTGCCATTAATGTCACACAATATGCAATTGGTTGAATCAAGCCATTAATTCATTTAGTCAATTAATAGACACATTTTCAGCACATAGTATATGTCAGTCACTGAACCAGGAGCTGCTTACAAGGAGATAAGAGAAACACAATTTCTGGTCTTCATCAATGAGGAGAGAGACACAGTATTATATGAAAACCACTCTAAGAAGTCTGTGTGCAGTGACCAGTGAGTAGCAAGAAGGTAAAGTTAGCTAAGATTGGGACCAGCCACTAGGGTCCTATTGTCATTTCTTTTGTTTATCCTATACCCACTCTGTTAAACAAATCACACTGTCCCTGAATGGACAAAGAATACTGA